GCGCGATAGATAAAATCCCCAGAATAAACTCGTTTCAACCTGAAGATATCTTGCGCTCGCAATAAGGTGCAGCTGTTGGAACTCTTATCACGTCAGACGAGAAAAATTACTCGAGAAACGAAAGAATATTTGGCAGTACACGAAAACAAAGAAGTTTGCTCTCTTCACGATGGGCTTGATTCTTGCTGGAACTTTGTCGTCCTCCACAGTGATAAGGATATTTGCATACTGGTATTATGGTTCAAGAGAAATAGCAGGAAATCAGTCCCAGGGTAGTAAAATTTCTTCAGTCATATTCGTACAAAAAACCTCTCTCCAAACTCTCGAACTCACGGATGTCAGTGAAAAAAAAGTGGCTTTTAACCGCGATTTTGGTCCACCACCTGAGGTTGCGCAATATAGACCTCGCTCCAACCTACAAGAGTTCCTTGAGTAAGAGAGAAGCTTCAGAGAAAAAGATCCAGGAACAGTCAAGCAGAAGAAATTGTACCGAACAACGACGAGGACTGCAGTATTCCTTAAATAAGACCCTCCCATCACGAAGTTCCCTTGCATCTCCTATATCACTCTCGGCAAAACTTATCCGACCACCAGTAATCTGTCGAGTAATAGTTTACATTCATGAGGATAAGAAGGGCCATGGATAGGTGGTCCTGATAAAGATATCATCACCAGTCCACAACATTACTGAGTAGGTACCATTCAGAGCTTCGGTTGGTCAAGAAGCATTCCCAGTAAAAGAACAGTCGGTGCGTCGGAGACCAAAAAAAAAAGAGAGAAAAAGTAAAAAAAAAAAAAAACAAAGAAGAAATGCTTCCCTCATTTGGTAATGATTATAGAGATCAACAACAACAGACTTCGTAATCTTAAATGTAAAAATCACAAAATGTTAAGTATGTACCAGTTGCATAGCTCAGTTTATGTCGAGTTCGCCTCCTGTTATAAAAAATTTCACTCATGGAGTGAATGGTAAACTCAGCGATCCGCCTCAGTCACGGGAAGGAGGTGAGTCGACCTAAGCTGGACAATCCGACCGGTTAGAAATCGGTAAATTGTATTTGAATGAATAAATATGCAAAACAAACGATAAGTAGCGTGAAGCGCATACCCCCTAAATAAACCCGTTTCAACCTGAAGTCATCGTGCCTCGCATTAGATTGCAGCTATTAAAGCGCTTTTCGCGTAAGACGAGAGAAATTACTCAAGGAACAGAAGAATGTTTGGCAGTACACAAAAAACAAAGAAATTTGCACTTTAATCAGTGGGCCTGTTTGTTGAAATTATGTCGTCTTTCGTCCTGAAATTTCTTATCAAGAATATTTCCATAGTGGTTCTTGATTCAAGTGAATCGCAAGAGATCAGTATCAGGGTTAGTGGTTAGTGATTTTTCAAATATATTTGTACAAAAAGGAACATCTTCTCTAATCCCTTGAGTTTAAAGGAGCCTCTGAAAAGATATCTGTGGCTTTTGGACCGCGATTGTAGTCCACCACCTGAAGTTGCTCTACGTAAGCCTCTCTCCAACCTCCAATAAATCCTTGTGTAAAAGAGAAACCTCAGGGAAGGAGGTCCTGGAACAGTCAAGCAGGAGAAATTATCCAAACAACAACGTCTACCGAAATCGTACTCTCGTAATCAGCAACATCAAACATTGCCCTTCAGCCAACTATTTACAACCGATTAAACCACTTCACAGTCGGTAAAATATACCTAAAGTTGAGCATTTTAAGACCGAAGAGGTTTTTTTTTGAAAATCAATGTCATTCACACCTGAACAAAGGATAGTTGAAATATGGTCATCCGCTCCTAATTTGGAGCTCGAGACGGTGAGGTCCCTCCGTTTGGAAGAGAAACGGAAAATGGTCCTATTTAGGCAACTCGATATAAAGAAGCATGGCTTTTTAAATGTCCACGGACGAGGTGGCATGCTTTTATATTGCTCTCAGATGTAAAAAACGAAAAAAAATGAAAGTACGGAGCCTTCCAGTCCGTTTTCTGTCCCTCTCTATCCCATGTTCCTTTTCACCAGAAGATCTTTCCCGAGCGAAGTTTCCTACCTCAGGGTATTCAAGGACATTGTCTTACAATATGTATGTGAGACGAGCTTCTCTTCGCTTACACACGTGCCAGTATGCCCCCTTAAGGAATTTTTCGGAATTCACAACGTTGTCTTCAAAAAGTAAACCCGCGCTCTTTACGCGGCATTCTATCAATGTACATTCGTCTCATGTTGGCACAACGTTTGTTTCACCAAATCTTTGCTTCGAGGGGTATGGCATCTTTCATAGTCCACGACCAGTCGCGCGACCAGTCGCGGACCTATCTCACGAGCGACCGGCGACCGATCGCGCGACTGGTCACTCGACTGATCGCACCATTGGTCGCTCGATCGGTCGGGGAGGCCGCGCTAGTTATGGGTGCCGCCGTGGACGGTCCCGAGCGACCGGTCGCTCGTGAGATGGGTTCGCGGCCAGTCGCGCGATTGGTCGCCAGTCGCTAGCGGCCGGTCGTGGACTATGAAGGATGCCTATAGCTCAATCATCGCCACACTAAAACGAGGAGGCAGTCCTCGCGCTGGTTGGCGAAGTGCATGAAGTAAGGCAAGAGACTGGAACGCGCGAGTTGCACTTGGTAACATCCTTCAAGTTGAGGTTGAGCGGGTCATCACCTAGTTGCATTCCTAAATGATACAGCCACATGAAAATCGATGAAATCCACTCAAACTCATGTTCCGGGGCACTTCAGGAAAAGGTGTGATATGGACTTATGCTCCACTCGGGCCGGACCCTGGGCTGGATCTGGACCAGCAACGAGTTCCGTCTCGATGACGTGGACAACTTCCCTACATTTCTTCGGGAAAGGTCACTTTGCCTGTGTCGCCAAATGATGCAGCCGCTGACCAAGTTAATTTATTCAGCAACCAGGTGATAAGTAGGAGTGAGAGTCGAGTGATCAATAATCGATTGAGCCCCGTTCCTTCGAATCGCACATCAATACATCCTTCTGTCTCATTGCGCCGTAAATATAACACCTGAGTAAAGCTTCTGCTGCAGCCACCAAAAATTCCAAAGGATGTAATTTATTTTAAGAACATGTTTGTTCTCATGGGAACTGCAGAACCTCGACTGGCCGACTCTTATGAAACCAGTGATGCGCGAAATATTCTGGATATTAAGACTGCAGTGTTTTTAGTGAGATCGTGTCGGAGGTATAACGAATTCTTGGTTTGCAAGCTCTCATCGTCAATTTCGGCAACTGAAACATGGAGAGAGCCATAGGGGAACGATTCTGAAGATGACGTTAGCTTCATAATCTGTAGAATATGCTGGCACCTGAGCTCTTTCGATTCTGGTAACTGAAGGTTCATCTTGAAAGAATGAAATATTGCACCAAATCAAATTGTTCTTTCAGCCGATTGTATGTACCTGGGCCTGAGATCTACAAGCTTAACTAGTCCAATTTATTTGAATGTCTCCATACTGAAAGGGTGAGAATGAAAATCATTTCATCTACAAAAGGAAAGTGCGAAAGTTTCAGAAATTAGATCCGAAAACAGCTCTTGGGTTTCAAGTAGAGTTCATCGTTCACAAGTGCCGGTTCGCTCGTCAATCGAAAGAACTCGAGGATATATGTTGTTATAGCCAAATCCTTCGCTGAACCTTCCATTTTTGCTGAGCCATTAGACTTCTTGGGAACTTGTACTGTGCAGATACAGTATATGAAATTTTGTTACAAGTTTAGATATTGGATGAACTCTGTGAGGTTGATACACCACCAATTGCGGAGGAACGGAAATTTCGGAGGAAGCAGAAGAATTTTGAAGACGTCGAAGACAATTTCAATTGCCACTGCTCCTTTTCCGCCACATCGCTTACGATGCTTTCAACATCATGATGATGTATTGGCCCCAGAAGAGCGGAAGTGGTGTAGTAGAAAGTGGCGCATGGTCCCTATTCTCGGACCCATATCCATCCAGGCCAACCAAGCCGTTCATCCTTTCGGGGTCGTTTATTGGCACTAGGCTTCTTTGAGAGATCGAAAGCACTGGCTTCTACATCAGCTGGCTACCACAAGCCTTTGTATAGTCCACAGACTTCATTTCATCGGACTTCTATTTCACTTTTCGTCGCTACGGTTCTGAATGGGAGTCCAATGTAGGGCGCATTCCAAGGCTGGATCATTTGACGCCCAAAACCTTATCCTTTTTTTCCTTCAATTCTCTCCAATTCGGTTACCCGTGTTCCTTTAATACCTCCGATCCTAATTCAAGATGTATGTAGATATAAGTACAAAATAGTTCGAGAGACCACCTTACGAAATACGGTATTGGGATGGTCCGCCCCGATTTTTTGGTAGAGGCGATTGGGGTCCGAAAGGTGTGAAACAGCAGGAATTCGTGAATCAGTAGGAATGGCACATATGCGGGGGTAGGAGGCTGAGCGGAGCTCTGGCTATTGACGTGAACATCTGGCCCGCCTACTGACCCTCTCCAACTACCTAAACACCATGGACTGGGACCCCTTTAGTGGCACAGCCGACCGACGATTTTGACTTTACCTTTTATAATTATTCGTTACCTAAAACTAAGCTTATGTACCAATTACTAAGATCACTTTCGCCACAATACGGTAATGATTGAAGTACTTCCCTGCAGTACCAGACCTTTCTTTAATAACGATCTCAACTACATCATATTCCCTTTGCATGTGACGCTGTTGGGGTCTGAATGAGCTTTGTTAAAAAGTAATTCTTAAAGCAAACGTTCCCGCTATAGAACACTAGTGCCGTCAAACAAAGTGTAATGTCTGAGGCCTGCAAATGTTTCTTACTTGACGCCGATGCAGACGGTGTTAGATTGGGCAGCCTTGCTTCGTGCTTTTCTGAAACTTGATCCTCTACTTGTGAACTACTCGTACCACATTTTTTCGTTTGGAGATGTAATGAGTTATAGAAAATGTTTATTTTTTTACTGTTGAAGGGTCCAGTGCCACTATGATCCGTCACTAATGCGTTCATTAATGTCCGGTCGTGCTAGCTTGGACGACCGTCGTTCGGATATTTCCGGTGGATCTAGTGCTTCAACTCTCATCAGGGACAGTACAACCAGTAGTAAAACAGGAGCTTTTCCACTCAGGAAGTCAGTAGATGTTTTTGACAATTAGTTTTTTTATTTTGTTTTTGCTTTTCTCTCTTATACCTGCTGAATATTCTCAGGAAATAATTTTTCTAAGCCTATTTTTTGAGTGTTCTCTTCACTGGGATACAGGACGGAACGAATCAATATTATATTGTCAGCTACTGTACTTTTACTGGTTATTTCGTCATAGTTTCCCTGCTGGTTCTCATCAGCTGTTGCTACATTAAAATTCGTTTTTTTTTTCTGTTCGCGGCAGCAACGATGGCTATCTTTATGACACAGGAAATTTGATTGATAGCAGATTGCTTTAATTTATGTCACGTTGCTTCGAACTCCAAAAACTGGACTAGCTGGTGCCGTACATGTTAAACCAAGCTATCCAGCTAATGGTTTTCTATATTCATTTGTTGTAGATTTACCGCCGGTGTTGGTCGGCCAGGATTAGCGCGAGAGGCTAGGGAAGCCGTCCGAAGTGTCGTTTCCGCCCAAAGTACAACAGTTCGTTTTCAAATATTTCTTTTTTTATGTAATAATACATAATACATTTCGTATTTTGGGCTCTTTTAGCGGCGTGTCATACCTGTTGAGCCCCTGGATTATGAGAAATTCGTCACGGAAAAGGCGATTCTCCTTGAAAATGATCCTCAGCGGGAACTGCTCATGTTCCCCAGGGATGATGTGGAGGTAACTCTTGTTACTTTTATGCTTTTTGAAGGTACTCGTTTAATGATGCGTTTGGTTTTTGAATTGTTTGTACTTTTTCAAAGGTAAGTTATAAATAATTTCTTAAAGGAGCTGGTTGAACCCGCAGAGGTTCCTACTGTTCTGCCTATGACCAACCAGAAAGATATCGTCGACACTACTTGGCTTCTTACTCGAGACGCCTTGAAGAGTTTCGTCTCCCCAAAGCGTACCATTTCGTTCAATTATTCGAAGTTCGCCGGTGATTATGACAGTGTTAATGACGAGTAAGTTTATTTATTCGTCACGTTCGTAACTCCTTTTTGTTGTTTTTGTTTTTTATCATTTCCCATTTCCTGCGGTAGATTTAATTTGAACTTAATTTAATATGTTCAACATGATGTCTTACCATTGTCCTTCGCCCGGTTTTTTCTAGGGCTCGTGGTGCTTCATATGCATCGAGGAGTTCATTTTGCAAACTTTCCTGTCCTTGCATGAACTTATTTTTGGTTTGCCTGTCCTTCATTGATGTTTTCTAGTGGAAGGTCTTTCATTCATCATATTCAGATGGCTTTGCATTCATTCAAAATCTCCTAGTTTTATACCTCGGCTATAGTTCTTCCTTATTTCCTTTCTGGCAATTGTTTCTTCAACTATTTAAACTCATTAATCTTTACTTGGTTATTTTCATGTGACTTTGCAAAGTTACACTCCCTCATCAGAACTTTTTACGATAGTTAAATACATCACTCTTTTCTTTCCTTGAACCTATTGAATTCACGATGTCTGGGTGTTGCCTAGACCTTTTATACAGTCACTGTAGAAGACCACATCATTCGAATTGGCCCTATTTAGAATAGCTGAAACTGACGAGATGTTGTCATCGTTGCTGTTCGAATCTGATATGATCACAGAGGAGGAGAGGGCGGTGGGTCCAGTTGTGTTTTTTGATTCGGTCGCTTCTATATGTTGAACGTTACGATCCAGGCAATGGAGAGCGCATCTGTGTCTGATGTCGTCAAGGAGGGTTTTGTGATGGTTTTGAGCGAAACTGGACTTTTGGACAACTTTAAGGTTCGTGCAGCTTTCATTTCACTAACACATTGGCATGATCTCATAGTATCGGGTTTCATGTTATAGTCGGCCAAGAGACGATATTGTACTGTGAAACAGCTGGGAAGTGGTGAAGTTGCTTTGGACATCAGAAAAACCCGTGATACACCACCAAAGCGGCCGCAAATGATTATTCAATCTGCTCAGCTGCGGTCTATGCGGAAAGGCAGGACGGTCTTGGAGGTGATCAATTCAAACTTCTCATAAATCAATAGCATGAATGGAACGTCCACTTATGTGTTTTAATTTTCAGAGTGTATGCATATCTTTTGCTCCTACCTTTCTGGTCATTCGTGTTCCAGTCATATTTTTCCTTTTCTTTTTTTTNTTTTTTTTCCTCAACATTTTTCATATCCTGCCCGCACCTATTGATCACATAATACCGCTGATCGAATTGTTTTGTTCGATTCTATTTTGCTGTGCCTTACAGATCAAACCGTCACGAACTTCCAAAGAGCGGGCGGAAGTGCGTTCCTTAACGTTAGCCTTTGAAGAAGACGAGGATCTCTCAAACTGGTTTCTCGCTCTTCAGCGAGCAATATCGTTCGTAGCCAAAGGTGATTCAGAGATGTTTCGATTTTTTTCGATTGCGAAATGAAATGATGTTTAGGTGACACACTGTCATTGGGATCTCATCATGATGATTCGATTAGCAAGGCAACTAACGAGCCAGACTCGTCAAGTATAGGTAGTTCAGATTCTGGTAAGGGATTCGTGATAAATTGGCCTTTCTGATAATGCTACAGTAATCACATTCTCAGAAAAGTTCCATAGTCGAACAATTTTCAGGTAGAGAATCTTTAATATGGAGAGGTCAACGAGCCGTTGCAAAGGCTCTTCAGCCCCCAATTGTAGATAGGAAGAATATTTTTTCACTATTTTCCAATCTCTCTGTGAGTAACTTTTCTGTCATGTTTTACGCATGGTATGGTTGTATTTATTTTCTTTGTGATTATGTGCAGTTATTTAGCCCTTACCGAAGCCGGTATGTGAGCCATTGAGTGTGCTTTGTTGCGGGTCTTCTTCACATTCATCGACTAGAAAACGCTCTCAGAATTCTATTTTACGGTTTCTCATCGAGTTCAAAAAACTGGACCTCAAGCTCGATGTTGCTCCTGGTATTCCTCAGCAGGTATTTTTTGTATTATATATCGTGTTTTTTTTTTGTAAGGTGAAGTTGGTTGTTCGATTTAGATTGAGCCGTTCTATGTAAAAATTTTCGTCTTCGATGCTTCTCAGGGGAAGCGGGTCTCTGAAGAGTTCCAAATAGATTGCAGTGAGAAGGCAAACGAAATCCCGGACCCCAATGGGGAAGGTATTCATTTGAGTAATGATTCGAGTCGTGTTCCTCTATGCCACACAAAAGTTTGTGAAGTCAGCGCCCTCATTTTAGACGACCTCATCAAAACCTATGGCGTCGGTCGAGCTCAGCTGACTACAAAAGCAGCATCTCAGGTTAGCTCCAATTTTGTTGTGTGTTGTTGTTTACAGTGTTTATTTCATTCCTTTCTTTTGGCTTTCTATTGTTAGTTTTGTTAGATAGCTGCTGCGGTTTCTTTTTTTTTTCGGAAGCAGGCTATCTCTATGATATGTCGATTTCGTAGAATTGTCCAATTCCCGCTCTTCGAAATATAACGCTTATTCTCAACTGACTTCATTTGCAAAATAGATAAAAATTGGAGTAAAAACCTCACGTGCGGTTAAATTGAAGGCGGATCCTTTTGCTTGGTTCAGGTGCTTTTCACTGCATTTGGTCTCATAGCGTTTTATGACTTAATTTATCAGGTGTTATTGTTGCTTTGCAATCTGCACTAATGCTTAATATTCTTAATTACCATCTAGTAGCTTCTAGACGCATAAACACGTTTTATGCCTAACACAAAGAGAAGGCGACCGAGTTCGTGGGATTATCTTGTTTAATTTGGTGCAGAGCTGTTGACCCAAGAAATCCAACTCTACAACGTGCTCAATTACTAACTTTTGGTAGTTTTAGATGATGTTCACTACTTGCAATCCTACGAAGGATCTATGGGTTGTTTGCTATATCGATCGCATGCTATCATTGGATTATTCTGGAGATTTATATATGAAGTATGTGTATTTGGATATAGGACATGTAACTAATTTCCATCAATTAACCCAGCTCCTCAAGTCTTTGCATAAATGATGGGATTAGCGCTTCGCGATTGTAGGGAGTTGCAGGTCATCTGGTGATCCTAAAGCTGTTGCAAAGCTGCAGAGATTGATCCAGACGTCGTCAATTCGCCTATCCAAGTACAGGCAGCGGTTCGCCTGGGCAGCTAGGTGGGTGGTTTTTGTGACTGAACTTGTTTTTATATTGTTTCGATACAATTCTTCTCTTCTAGACCACTCCATGATGAGAATCTCGCCAGGGATTCATCAAACCCACGCGTGAACAAGGGTTTCAGCACGATGCAGTTATTCCGTTGTGATAGCAACAAACTCACAGACCAGGACCTTCAGAAATACCTCGGTGATTTTGCCAAGTGGGTTGGAACCATTTTATTCTTCATCGCTTTTTAACAATTTTCGCTTTTTCATTCATTCCACTCTTTCTATTTGTGATCATCATTTTCTGATATCCTCACTTTTGGCTTCCAGGTTGGAAAAAGCTGGCAAGTTTGTTTTGCCTAATTCTTCGATGGCGGTCAAAGTTGAAGCCTTGTCATTCGAAGACGAGTTCCAGTGTGAGTAATGTACCTCATACTCATTCGAATGGGTCCGCAGGGGTTCAGCATTTACCATAATTAGATACATAAGCTACACTTTGGCCATATTACTCATAAGAAAAGTACTTGGATTACTGACTTCTAAAATCCTCTGTTTTTGATTTACTCAATTTATCTTTTAGTTTTGACTTTTGAGATTTCTTCGTATTTCAGCTCGTGTAAATCCTTCCTTCTTTGCTCTGAAACCTTGGAAGCTATCTAATGACAGCCCGGTGCCACCGGTGTTTGAGCTACAGACTTTTGGGGATCCAATTGCCGAGCCGTATTCGCAGCTGTTCAACCTGCTCTATATTTATCCATTAAGCTTGAAGTAAGCATAATACTCTTATGTTTCTTATTGTTTACATTGTACTTATGTAAGTAATCCAGAGACACGGCTGTGGGCTTCTTATGTTTGCGGGTTTTTTTAAACTTTTTTATATAGGTATGATAGTCAACGTGTCTTTCCGAAAGCAAGAAACATCCTCTGCACTGTTCGCCTTCTCCGCGGTGGTGATCATACCGCTGCCAAAGTAAGTGTGCATAGTTTTTCTTCAGAATCTCTTTAGGAAACTGTTAGTTTTTTTTTTTNTTTTTTGAAGGTTTTTTTCGACCGCCTTCATCCATCTGGACCATTGGTTGCAAGTGCCAAATGTACTGTACAGTACCATCAACAGTTTCCACATTTTGGTTAGTGTTCTCCAATAGATACCCCTTATGGTTTCTATTGATGGTTAGTTTTCATACAGCCAGAAAAACACAACATTTTGTAATTGTAAGAATCTGCTGGGGATCTGTAAACCGGCTAGTGTTTGAATAGCTCCTTCTTTTCTCTAAAACTGATTTGTTGCTGCTCGCGTCATTGTTGCATTAATTGTACAAGGAGTAGTTGTTTGAGGAAAGTTGCCCCGGTTTTTTATAATGAAGTGCTTGAAGCGGATTACCAGGTCCGAAAAAGTCTCAGTTATGGTTTTTGTGTTTATAATTAGAATCTATTTAAAGGTGATGAAGTGAAGGTCAGCCTCCCAGTTTGTCTGAGTACTTCCGATCATCTTCTTTTCTCGTTTTCTCACATCGCTGTAGCAGCTCAAACAAATAGCAAAGTGCCCGAGGTAGGTTCCCTTTTGTTTTTTGTTTATTCTGAGATGAATACTGTACAGTATCATGACTGTAGTATAGCCTTGTCCTTGTGTTTACGAAACGTTTCCTACCATCTGCAAATCATAGTCTGTGGAAACTCCAATCGGATTTGCATGGCTTCCGTTGATGTGGAAAAAAGATCGGTTGGTAATGGAAAGCGACGACCAGGAATTCGCTCTTCCTGTTGCTGCTGATCTTCCAGACGCTTACTTCCGCAATCGTCCCTTTCGCGGAGGAAAAATGGTTGGTTCCTGTTTTTTCTCGTCAAGGAAACGCTAGTCATCAGTGGGAGTGGAAGTGAACAATTTCCGGTTGGTTCAGGATGAAATGACCGATATTAAATGGGTGGATCAGCGGGCACTTTTCCGATTTCGGTTACGGCTAGCGTCTTCGGTATTCACCACGGACTCCATTTTGCAGGACTTTTTTCAGGTGAGAAAAATCATCGCTAGAGAAAAGACTTTTGCCGATTTTATAATATCTTAATTAATTTAGGATTGTGATCAGCTTGAAAATCTCGGTTGTACTGGAAGCGATCTGGATCTTTCGAGGGTCAGTTTGTTTGTGGGTACTTACTGTACTTTGAATACAGATTTTTGCTCCTACAAATGGAGCGGTTTTCAAAATGTACCATCGCAAATTTGGGCTAAAGATATGGGCAATAGCATGCCATGACGCCGGAATCGATACACGTCTGCTGTGCGCCATTCATTAAAATCTTTAATCGGAAGCGTGGGAAAGACCCTCTATGGGGGTAACGGATTGGCTGTTGATGTGATTAATGCGATACTACGGCTAGGGATGCTGCCTCATTTCTCGTGAATAGTCCATATGGTGCAGGGTTTTGCAGGCGCTTTTGAACCAAGTGGATGGGGTCAAATGTCTCTTTTGGAGAGATATTGCGCCTACTTAACCGTGAAGAGGTCCCAGAATTGATTCGCGCTATGCTTAAAATAGCATCTGCTCTGATAGTTGACTTTGGTCCCTGGCATCAAGTTTTATATTCTGCTGGGACGAACGGAATGAGGGCAAGGTGTTAGATGAAAAAAAGACATATCTCACCAAATTTCCTGAACACTGTACAATTTCACATTCCATTTTTTTTCATGGTAAAGGCTAATGCTGTACGTACTCCGCCCATCGCATGTACTCCGCCCACCTCATCTTTTTGCATTGCGATGCCTGCTGTTTAGCTTTATTTGAAAAAGCGCGTAGCTAAACAAATTACAGACGATTTTTCTTGCGTGCCAGTAAGATGGCGGGGCAAATCAGCGAGAGTCCCACAAAAACGATACGTTTGCTTTTGAGTCATTGTTAGCCGGTCACAATGACTTTCGAGTGAATTCGAATTCTTATATCGGTTCGGAAATGTGAGCAATGCATTTCAGTTGTTCACAAAATTTTCTTAATCTATGCCTTCAGACCAAAGGGTCGTCAGTACCGCGTTCCACTAGCACCGATGCGGTCCGATCTTGCTCACCACTTGTTCGATCGACATTCTTCGATGACGATCATCCATTAGCTAAAAGCCTTTTGGAATGTACGAATGTAGGTCTATCATAATGTAAAGTTTCTTGATGGCCATATCGTACACCTTTTTTTTCTGAAAACTCCACCCAAACGATTTCTTTGTAAAAAGCACATCATGGTTTCAACTCAGGTTGATTGGTCAAAATCAGAAGAAGCCGGTCATTCATCATTGCAGGCGACGTTTTTCGTAATTGACGTAATAGGGTGATTTGTTTGCGAACTGCATGAGATTAGGCGAGCATGTGTCGCCCAGCTGTTATTTGGTGACTCGGTCTTACGGAGGGGCTTGCCACATAATACGTTCCGACATAGCATGATGTGAGACTTAAAATGGCGGTGGGGACTTGAAGACTTCCGTTTCCCGAAGCCTCCGCTGGCTGAGTTGCTCCAGACAGACGGCAGTTGGAACATGTAGGGTCCCCCAGCTGGCTACAGTCCTGTCTCTCAATTATCCGGTGCAGCCATTTGATTAGAGGCGAGAACAGTGTCCGATAGCTGGCCGTAGACAGTTGACACTTGGTGTGGTACACAAAAGCAACCTTTTACAGAGTACGGTCTGGTCAAAAAGTTTTAGTTTAAGAAGGAACTGTTCTGTCGAGGTCAATGAAATTTTATCCCTAGTTGAAACCGTATTCTTTGCAGCACTGAGAAAGCTCCGACTAATGGAGACAACCTTGACCGGTCCAACCGCCCTATATTGGGCGATGTAAGCCTTGGCACTTATTTGCAGACTTTTCCTATTAGATTGAATGATTAAGTACTGGGGATTCATACTAAATTTTGCATTGAAATATTTTATAATTATTTGTATTTTTATTTTTTTATTATACAGAGGTCTTTGCCAGTGAAATAAAAGCAAAATGCATACTTCCATACTTGTTATCATTTTATTACATCGATTTATATTTTATTGTTAGTATTAATATTTTCTAGAACTTAAATGATTCTGGAAATGTTGGTTATACATATTCTCCGCTCCTATTGGTGGGCATTCCATCGAGTTATGGAAATCGTTCGAGTCGCGCCATTTTTGATTGCCCTGTTGAGCTCTTAATAGTAACATTTTTGCCTTAAGAGTTTTTTCCTTCATGGAAGCATGCGTTCGCACTACACTGGCGAGTTCTGAGCAGAATTTCGACCTAGGACAAGGCTCGAACCCGTAAATGTCCGTAATAGTCCGAGCACAGTGCTCTTTGTTCCCTACGCTACCGAGACCGCGTTTGTTCACATTTTTTGATGACTTTTTCATGTTTTCAGTTTATTATGCAGGCGGCGAAATTCCAACGGGGAAATATTGTTCACTAATCCCAGCCACTTACTAATTTTAGTTCAAAACGGTCTTTAGAGTGTAATGGAGAACATGCGTCAACGTGATTTATGTCAAGATGTCCAACTTCCGGATCTGTGACAGTTGGTCGTATAAAAAAGGAACTTAAAAATAACCATACCCGAGTTTCAGTAGTGTGGAAGTTTTCGGGAGTGCATAAATGAAATCATTTTTTTGCATGCATGACTATGTCGGATATCGGAATCCGAAACCTAGATTACAAGTTTCAATGGTTTGGGCACCTTTTTATTTTTTAATCAAAAATTCCGAGGATTATATAGGAAAGCAACACAGTACTTTCCTGTCATGAAATAGTTTATCTTTCGCTACCAATCGTTTTGAGCTGACGTGATGTTGTGGCAATTGGAGCACTAATTGGTGCCAGATTTGTCTGGGAGTATAAAAGCACTGACTTGTACATAGGCTGGCCCCTGCAAGTCATTGTATAGGCCACACCCGCATTCAGAGTGCAGTTACGGTTTTGAATGGAAGTCGCATGTGAGGCGCATCCTAAAAATGGAACTGATCAGCGCCAAAGACTTCATTTTTATCCTTTAACATCACACATTTGACGGCTAAGCTATCCAGCTAGATTTTCTCTGAACGACGCAGATCTGTATATTCAATTTTTTTTGGAGGGCTTTACCGCTTATTTTGTTCAGAATTTCCAAATGCTCTTTTCCAGGCATTGGCGATAGTGGATATCACGAAGACTGTTCCGTTTCTTCATATTATTCTTTCTCGCCTGCTCACATCTCTCACACATGTTCCAACGGATAATATTGCTATGGCCACGCTGAGGTTTGTTTCCACCAGCACTAGAAGAAAATGTGAATTTGTGACTTTGCGTTCTGCGCTCCTTCGAAGCGTTCAAAACAAGCTTTTGAATCGGGAAACCAGGTCCCTTTTGGAGGAGTATTCGAGAGAAAATTGTATTCTTCCTCTACTGAGGGTTTGTTGGATGGGCTACATTCAGAGGCGTTTGCTCGGGTGGTTTTCCAGACCGGATAATTCCAGATGTTACTTGCAACCGAGGCGGCGGCTTACTTAGGAGGCATGTCTTTTCTTTATTCTCTGGGTTCCTGTGTACTTCATGCTGGGTGTGGTGCAGTAGGAACGAAAGTGTCGCGTCGCGGCCAGAGGGTCGCCGCGCGCGAAGGAATGTGGCAGGATGCAGGAGCAAGTTCGAACTAGAGAAACAAAAGAACTAACGGTAGAATCTCGCCAAAAGTAATAATCGCACAGCGGTTTAGTTGTATGAAGAAGGCTAGTATTGTTATAACGGGGGCAAATGTTCCGCGACAGCCGCGCACGGCGGATCGATTACACAAAACCGTTCCTACTGCCCGTCTCCCCTTCATGCTATTATTTTTTTTTCATTTGGATCCTTTTTTCCCAGCTCGAATGTAGCATGTAGCATGTAGCATGAATGCTCGTCTGATTGTGAGTTGTTTCTTATTGATTTTATAACGAGTGTCCGGTGAGAAGGGCAGCTCCTGTACTCAACAAACGGCTTCCTTGAAAAGTCATAATGCTTCAGAGCGCTGGATTTCCGATGTTCTAACTGATCTTCTCAACTTTTCAGAGCTCTCGTTTCTGTATGCGATCGATGTGCGGAAGCAGGTTACAAGCATTTACTTCGAGCTTTCGTACGACACCATTTCGTTACAGTGGAATCTAGTGAGGGCGCTACTCACAGTGTTATCTGCCGTTTTTTGAATTCATTGGTGAGTATTTTCACTGCTACTAACACCTTTACTCATTGATCCATAAGTGAGATCCATTTTGTGAATTAATCTTTTTTCAAAGCACTATATAAAAGTAGAAAAGTTGGATGGATGACGGAAAGCTATGGGAAAAAATCGTTTTGTTTACTCCTCGAAACCTGTTCTGTCTTATGCTTAATAATCGAAGGGAGTGTCCTAAATGCGAGGAGCTATCGTATTTCTAAGCTTACTGAAAAGTAGACCGACATGTTTTCGTTATGTTTGTGTTGTGTAGTAAAGAACAAGTTTGTCTAAACACAGGTTCCGGATATTCCAAAATCCGATTATGTATGGAAGGTAGTGCAAGGAATCACACTGAAAAGGGTGTTGTACAATAGGAACGAAGTTATTGCGCAGCGCGGCGAGAGAGACGCCGCGTGCGAATTAATGTAGCAGAGTGCAGCAGCAAGTAACAAATACAGGAACATTAGAATTATGCTAAAAGCAATAATCGCATAGCGACTGAACTGTATGAAGAAAGCTGGAACTGTTATAACGAGGCAAATGGTCCGACAGCCGCGTGCGGCGGATCGATTACACAAAACCGTTCCTAGAGGCCGTCTCCCCACTGAAGGCCATGAGCAATTTGAGCGTATGGTAACCGGGGGCAGCTTACCAGCTTGGCGCTTTTGCCACGAGTGTATAGTCAAACTATGCGACGGTATCGCGTGAGTAGCTCGAAAACCCACCAATGAGGATTGTCACGGAACATTGACTACTCCTTCATTTTTCTAATGCACCAGCGTACTCACTGCCTTTGGTGGGACCACTAAACTGGTTCTAAAATGTTGAACTGTCTCCTGCAAAGCGAACATTGGAACATTCAGAGTTCCAATGCTCCATGGTTATTCCGAATCTGTAGAATTCCCCTAACAATATTAGTTGGAGAGGGGCGGAACCTCTCGATTTGCCTTTCGCAAAGATAAGAAGTTTCAGTCAAGCGTTAGCAAAAGAATTGGCTTGTTTCATGCATTCCATGCTTACATAGTTGAACTATATGTTCTACGAAGAAAGCGCCCTGGAGCTCAGACGTTTGGGGTTTGCACCATTTTTTAAATTGCTAAATATTATTTGTCTATTCTATTCAGACAGTTTCTCTGCAAGACGCTACCAATGAATTAGCCACCTTATATCGCCAATTATGGTTTCTTTTCGACGTAATTGCAAAAAGTATTGCACAGACGATTGTTCGACGATCGCTTCTTAAGGTGAGGCATTCAGTGAACGTTTATAGATTTGAATATATACTTCCATTATTAGTGTCCAAGGAAGGATCGCTTGTCCCCCGAAGTGCTGGAACAGATTGGCAATCTCATCACTACCATCGTTCCATTGCTGATCTCAAAACATCGTGAACTTCCAAAGGAGAGTCGCGCCGGAATAACCTGTATCGCTTTTTTTCTACGGGTCAGCAAATTTGCAGTTAACCTTTAATAATCGAGTCAGCAGATTTTTTTCATTGAACTGTTATGGTTGTGACAACTTAGAGGCACTATTTCACTGAATTATGTCAGCCTTCCATGACTGGTTCACCTAGCTGGAGGTAGTGTGAATCGTTATGATTCGTAGTCCCTCAGATTACGTGAGATTTTTGAGGGAAAGGGATGGCGGGAAAGAAAAAGAGCGTTCCATCCATTTCCTAGTAAAGGCATTTTAGGGGTTGGTGAGAATGTAGGTAGTCACTGATGCAGCCTTAATGTAGGGTGAATAAGGGGTTCTGAAAACATTTGTGTTTTTATTGACAGACTTTTTGGGTTTGCTATATTCGTTCTCAATCTTACTTGTTATGACGCACAGATATTCAGTGCTTCGCATCGAAAGTAAAACTTGAAGGATGAAGTCTTTTGGAGTTGATTAATCCCTTTTTGAAATGCGCTCTGCATTCGACTTCCATTCAGAATAGTAATCGACTACCCAGTGCGTATGAAGTGACCTATGCAATGACATGGAGTAGCCGACCGATATACGCTATTATCTTTCTAGGAAGGTCTAGTACCAACTCGAAGGCATGGAAGGACTGGTAGGCCCGGATATGTTCCCATCAGGGTTCTATCAGCGAACTTTGTCTGTGACAGTTTAACACCTGGCCCTACTCAACCTTTTAAGAGCATACAGAAAGGAAAACGCGACACAGCTCGTGCCACGTCCACCATATCGTCCTAACCGTGATTTTTTAGTGTTGTCTGAGTTTTGTTGATCGTGGTGCTGTATTTAAATGGATCAACTTCATCTTACAACGTCTGGACGAATGTGATTCAAAGGTAGGAACCTTTGATCTTGTTGAATCTTCTGATATTATGCAATTTACAAAGTTTATTAATGCGATCCGCTCAAAGCTGTCTCGAGTCCCATAAGATACTTATTGGTGTCCATGTCTGTGCTGTTCTACTTCCAACACTAACTTTTCTTCATTTTTTTCAAAACCTTCTGAACTTTTTTCAACAATCTGGTTTCTGCGTCTAACATAATTCTTTTTGTTACCCCTAGAGCAGAATTGTTTTACTTACTTTTCCTTACAGGTAATACGAGATTTTAAACTGGACGTACTTTCAATAATATCTCAGCACGAGCATTGGCTACCTCTGTGCCTTCCGGTAGTGATCGATTCACAAAATCAGATTCATAGAGTAGTTAACCAGCCCTTATCTTCTGATTACAGTATGAGTTCAGGTTCGTCTTTTATGTTGCCTGGCCTTCCTTGAAACTTTCTAAGGGGCATGCATTTTAGGTGCTGGTTCTCGATTTTTGCCTCGGTTTCTTAATCAGGTTTTCCAACCAGCTGTGACCTCGATCGACAAACATCGATGTAACATTTTATATGATTTTACTTTGCCGTAATGGGTGCATCTTATATAGCTTTCCTTTCAGATGCAACCTGTTCGGATGAATGGTACTTGAACCCGACATATATTTCTCATCATTTTCCTTCAGGCATAATCTTCCAGGTCAGGCGTTGGCTATTAAAACAATTGTAATCATATATTTGTGTGTTTATCTGTCTCTCAGGTAGGAGTCGATTTTGCAAGAACTTATATAATCTTTTTAAAAGGGGACAGAATTTGTGGAGGAAAAGTTTTGCCCCAGTTGAAAAATTTGTGTTTCCACTGGTCCAGGTTCTGACTTGAAGCAGTAACTTTCCTAATGTTGAGTATTTCCGGATATTATAGAAAATCTTGATCAACGTTAAAAAAATTCGTTCCATAGTGAACTTCGATAATCGCTATGTTGACCTGAAAGTGACTGATTCCTTTTGGAGTGCGCTGCGCAGTCGACTTTCACAGTGAATTGTAGAGCCGTTTGTCAGTTCCGTTCCGAAAGTTAGCTGCAGCTTCCGTCGTCTTTCAGCGGCTTCCTATGCGAGGCTGTCTCCCCAGGCAGGCTAGGCACAGTTCCGTGACCCACAAGGTCGCTTGTGTTTGCGAATTCAATATTGACTGGTTCTCAGACCTCGATTGGCAACGGGCGTTTGAATGGTTTTGCGGTTTTGATTTAAAATGAAATTTGATAGCATGGCTTATCGATCAATACCTAATGCTGACTTCCTTGTTTTTGTTTTTTTTAGCCTTTTTCAAAATCAACAGGTTTTTCCCTCCCTTCGAAGAATGAGTATACCTGTTAACGCCGGAGGCAGTGGTTAAAAGCGATACCTTCCTTTCATTTATATAATTAAAGTTTAATAGTAGAAACAAATTTGTTCAGGAATTATATGCATGCATGCGTGAACCTCGAGAACATCGACGTCGAGCAATTGTATTGTTAAGGAACTTGTTGGCTAAACATTCCTTCGACAAGAGATATTTAGATATGGTATGAATAATTTTCTTCTCTACAATAAAGTAAGCCTTTGTTAGATTTATGTTGTTTCCAGAATATACAGCGTAGAATCGCGGTTCTGTACTTGCCCTTTATTCGTTTCGCTATGGAACACACGAGCGAGTTAGAAGACATCATGGTGAACGATTCTGCTGAAACGGCCACATTTTGTACTAGTGAGTTTTTCAGTTTCATTTGAAACACGGGAATTTCTGGTTTTAGTTCACTTCCATTCATTTCTCATATAGAGTTTTTACAAACGAGCGGTTTACAGCTTTACAGTTAGGAGTCGACAATTTCGATTGATAACCCATAGCTTAACTGTAGGCGGAGCCTCAATTTTCACGACGGTAGATTCCAGTTGGTGTTCTAGGGGAACCTATCGTGATGTAAGGCCAGTAGCCACGTTGAGGAAGCCCATGTTCTGACCGTTGTGCGCAAAGTCTATATTTCTCCTGCACATCTATTTCTTGGGGGTGGTGCAGTAGGATTGAAATTGTCGCGTCCCTTTGAGAGGGATGCCGCGCGCGAAGGAGTATAGCAGAATGCAGCGGTGGGAAAGAAATGCAGGAACAAAAGATCTAACGTTAGAATCATGCCTAAAGTAATGATCGCATATCGATCGAGCTGTATGAAGAACGCTAGAGCTGTAATAGCGGCGAAGCGCATGATCCGCGACAGCCGCGTGCGCCGAATCGATTACACGAAACCGATCCTACTGCTCGTCTCCCCTACTTCTTCCCTATTTACGGAAGGGACTGCTAGATTTTTTTGCTTTTTTTATTCGACATCCCTGACCTTCCATGAATGCTCTATTTAAGACGCTTCTGTGACTGATGTTCAGCCAGGACGTTCCTTCGGAACATGTTCTACCGTATTTGCTCAACAATCAACTTCTCCTAATTTCGCTCTTTCCGAGAGATTAGATCAGGTACATATAGTGCTATGCCGTTATGGATCCGACCAATTGTTTTTGATTTTACAGGAGGAAGTGCAGGACATTCTTGTCAGCGTCTTGTATGTGATCCATCGGGTGCCAAAACGGATTTTGGGAGCGTTGTGTGTGGAAATGAAGCAGAGTTGTGTGATGCAGTTACTTCGACTTCTTGAAATAATTCTGAACGTGTTTCGATATCGAGGACGACCGGATTCAAGATCTAACATTGAAAGGCCGTACGTTCTCATTCCTATGTTCTAGTATTTACAGAACTGTTTACTAGTAAGTCGGAAGAGGTTTCTATAAGAAAATGCGCTTTGATTTAATGGTCATCATTTATTTGAGTGACCACTCAGCGTTATATCCCATGGTTTTAGTATACACTTGGGTTTCGCATACTGGGAACTGTTTACAAAGAGTTGTTTTTACAAAGTTTTTCTCGTAAAGTTTGTATTTTTAAACGGTAAGCTGAATGGGTGGAGATCCGCGGCCTTTTTTATTCCCTGCCCAACGGAACGAATTCAAGCTCATTTTCATTAATGAGGCTGATGAAGCCTACAAAATGTGTTAGTTATAATTAGCATTCTTACAGCTTACCTTGTCCTCTACTGGCTAAGCACTCTATCACTCGAACTTCTCACGACCACCTTTTGATGCCTGATTCAGGTGTGCAAATTCAAATTTCACCGGAATATTTGCAATTAATGAGTTCAGAATGTGTAGATTTCATTGTCCCTTCCATTGCGACTTTCTAGGTCAAGTCGATGGCAGAAGTAGCGGCTCGTTTTCTATGCCATATCGTGCTTTGCAGCTTCTGAATTTGTCACAGGAGGTTGCCCTGATTGTTCTCGAAGTTGCGCAGAGCCTAGCGCAAGAGTTTGCGGTAGGTATAGTCTTACATTATCTTTCGACTGTAGAATATCGCTCAGAATAGCCTTTACTGGAATTCAGCTTTGTTATAACTTTTCATTTGGAACCATTTCTTTATACTAAACTGTGCGACTTCAAGATTTTTTATTTAGGATCGACATTTGAAATCGCATATGCTGGAGGAAAGTGTTTTTTCAAAGTTGTTTTCTATCTACCTTTCACTTTTGGATGATTACTGGCCGGAGGGTGTCCGTTTACATGCGTTAGCTGCTCTTTCTGTATTCGTCAATATGGTGAGATTTTACGTTTGATTTCATTTTACGTTGCAACGTGAGCATATCGAGAGCTGCCGCGCGCAGTCGCGTAGCTGCCGTGTTTTTTATCCAGTCATTAACTCGGTGCTGTTGCAGCTGTGTTTCCGAAATTTCGCCCGACAAAAAAATGTGCGAATTCCCGCAGAATTTGAAAGCGTATATTTTGTCGTCCCTTTTATCGGAGAAAAGAATAATTCTGAGGAAAGACTGACCCCGATTTTCACTATTCAAAAACTTCTATCGTACTGTTCTCACAATTAGTCATCGTTTTTATGATTCATCCCACTTTATTTAGTTCCATGCCTATCTTTTCGAAGACGGACCATTGGATGATCTATCGTTTCTTATTGAACGGCTTCTAGTTGTTATGGCAAGCAGACTGTCAGCTGTACAGAATGCAGCCGCCGCTTTGCTACACCTAGTTTTGCGCAACGGATATGAAGCATCACAAGCTTACCTAGGTAAGTTATACCTTCGTCGTCAAAGACAGGTATACTAGTAGAAATGAAGTTTTTCTTAGGAAGTCACGTTTTTCAGTTTCCTCATACATTCATTTTTAGCTGGTCATGCTATGGCACAAAGTGTTTCTACATCCAAATTACAATCTATGAGCAAAACATCTGTTGAGCGGCTTGGTCGTCCTGGTTGTCAAACTAGTGTCGCTTTGGCTCGATTATTAGGTAAAGTAGTAAAAGTAAATAAAAAAGTAAAAGTAAACACTCTGCTATTCTTCATTTGGGGTAATGGAGTGAAAAACAGATTCGCTCAATCAGAGGCTCGTGCTCCAGCATGTTCAACTTTTTTTCTCGTTCTACTTCCGACTTACGAAATCTTGCGAAAGCTCCACATTGCCTAAATCCGAGTTTCCTGGCTTTAAATCCCTTCGATTGCCGTTTCTGCTTGATTCTCATATTCAATCTTCAGCTGATTTCGAAGAAAGAGTCAAATGCTTTTATTTTACTAGATTAAGCTGAAGCGGGCCATCTGCTTCTGTTCTTTTTCTGAGGGATGCGTCCCTTTGCATTTGTATGCACCTCCTTCCAAGATATTTAACTACTTACTCTTTAGCGGTCACCTATGTGTTCCAGAGAGGGTTTAAGCAGCTGAGATCGTTCTATTCGCGGGTTCATCGCAACAAATTCGCTCCTTGACCGCAACATGCGCAATTTATAATGTTTCATTATAGGTACAAAGTCAACCCTTTCGAGTGCTCGGTTGGAGAAAGGCTTGAGCGTGCTTTACAACCTTTCAAGTGCAATCGATGGCAAAAGAAATACCAGTTTTGGACAGGCTGTAATGGTGCGCAGTAGTTTTTGGGAATCGGAATTTTGCAGCTGTTCATGCCCTACCAGTTTGCAGAGCTTTATCTTAACGTTTCCAGGAGCTCGTTCATCAGCTCCGTGGCGTCATGTCGGCTACAGTTGCACTGAAAGATGCTGCGAATGATCCGGTAAGTTCCTATCTGAGCCTCTACAAAGGTGGAAGTGAAACACTATTTTTTGGAATTACTATTCCATTTTTTCCAGTGTCAGGCAGGTACAATGAATGCTCAGCGTACTGGTAGTAGTGGTTGCTTCACTTTTTTAAATGATTTCTTAGCTTTCAAATTAAAATCTCTGGCTCGCTCGAGTTTGTGGAGTTCCATCCTGTTTCTTTCGATTTTTGTTACTCTTTTTCACAAAAACACACTCTGTTTTCTCTTCATCCTTATTTAATAACTGAATTATTTGCTCATGTTTTTTTCTTTGAATAGTGTTCCAAAATCCACTGAACGGAACGGCATAGTATCCATTAAGTCGCCCGGCAGTATGCCAGTAGGGTTCTCGTGCCGAAAATACTGAGATTACGACTTTTCGATATTTTTTCCTTGAATCCTTATCGACCTGAAGTCCTAAAATGCCTTCGAGCGTGAAAAAAGCTTTTTAAGATTCGCTTAGCTGATCTGCACATACAGTTGGCAGACAGCTATCGTGGCTCTGCCGCACTGAGAAGCGCTTGGTTTGACGCATTAGCCGATCTGCACACAGCTGGTGAGTATTGATTATATTTATTGATTGCAACAAAATATGTTTTTACGAAAAGCTTTTACTGGTACTTCAATCTTGGTTATTTTTGTTTTAGAAAACTGGCATGCTGAAGCTGCAGTTTGCCATGCGCACTCCTTAGCTATCATCGCCAAAGAACTAGCAGCAAAGGGTGGGTTCTTTTTTCATCTTTTCAATTTTTGTATGTCCTTAACGACTTATTGATTTGTAGGTCATTTTCCATTAGACCGTAGGTCGTTTTCTTACTTTTATATAGACAGTATTTCCACAGAACTCTGCAAGATTGACTGGACGGCATTCGAATGGATCAGCTCATCTATTGTTAAGGATGAAGGAGCAATAGAGGTTGATGGAAGTGTCCAGTCAGCTGGTTTCACCATGGTTCGTAAGCTTTACCATCGATTAGGATTTAACTAGTAATTTATTCGAAGTATTGGATGTGTCCTGAATCAGCATTTCTTTTTTTCAATTACCTTTCTTTTACCCACTATATAATACATTCTTCTGGGTAACTATGAACACAGAGGATTACTGCGAAGTAATAGTTTTCTATTCTTCAGTGTGTGCAATTTGCAGGACAGTGTAGCCACTAAAGTTGAACAAACTGCTGCCGCACTAACATTGGCTGAACGATATGAGGCTATAGGGCCATTGTATCGGCTAATCATTCCCATGTTCGAAAAGACCGATAACTTCAAGGTGAGGTGTCGATTACGACAAGAAATCAATGCCTATCATTGACATTGTAAAAATGTTATACTAATCTGTTTCGAGTGCTTCGCTGTTTGGTTTCGATTAAATTAGTCGGTGGGGTAAAAACAAGCGTCTACTGCTTCTGGCTATTTCGGTGGAAGCGCGTTAGGGATATACGGGTAGTAATTGAGTGAAGCCATATTGTGTCATTGTCAATGCGGGCTAACTTCTAGCTTGTGGGCGTGTTGGCTTGGTGCAATATGAAAGGTAAATTCTTTGACGTTCATCAATCCTGTTTCTGGGATGCGCCCCGTATTTGACTTTCAATCAACATCGTTGTGGCGTTTCGAATCGATTATGGCCTATGCAATGGCTAGTGGTAGCCAGTCCATGTTTGACATAGTGCTTTTGTCCTACCAGACCATTCTTGTTCAAATTAAACGAACCCGGTGGATGAAACCTTGGTTGGCCTGGGTGAGACTTGTTCGGGATTGAATCCCAGGACCTGCCTGTGTGGTAGTCCACCACTTGTGACTACACCATCTCCGCTCATTTTAGGTTGCATTCAAATTTGGGTTTAGTTACCCAACTTTGATAACAACGTGAATTTCACAAATAACGCTCTGCTCTGATGGATACTAGTCCCTTTCTCCTCCAAAACTTGATCATTATAAGTATAGACAGAAGTTTCATGGAAGCATACCTACTTCGCAAATAAGAAGCTAACTCTTAACACTTGTAATTACAACTTTTTAAAACACTTGTTGTAAAACTGGTATTTTTTGTAAATGTTTCTAGTCGCTGGTTGGTGTGTACGCCGAGCTGCAACAAACCTACAGTCGTGCAGCCGAGGTGAAAGCTAGTGGGAAGAGGCATCTGGGCTCGTATTTTCGTGTGCGCTTCTTTGGTGAATACCATTCAAGGTTGGTGAACATTGCTTGACTCAGTTTACTCTTTTAGATGTGTTCAAAAAATGATCTCGTATATCGCAGTTGCACATTTATTGATCGTTGATAGGTTCTTTGCTTAATTATTATTTATTTATATGTGCGCGTGATCATAATTTACTGATCTTGGTACTCATATTTTGGTACTTACATAATCTAGATACTCACTTTTGTTTTACTTCATGGAGCTCTCTATTTGTTGCATGGGCCGAAAGACCGCTTTCTCACCGCTTATGGGCAATCCTGTAGTTGTACAACTGTAAAACACCACTTCTATCACTTGTCGTCTCGTTGATCATCGATTTGCTCCGTGACAGCGAGCACTGTGACGTCTCTAATCGTCCCTGTCGTGGCCCACTGCAGTCCACTGGATCATTCCCGCTCGAGGAACACGAGGCATTTTTCTTTCCTTCAGAGCTTTCTTGAAAGAGTCTGGCCATAGTGCTGGCGGCCATCTTGGTGTTCGTTTGACGTCCCGAGATTCCAGTCAGTAAACGCCCTGTCCAAGGGTCATCACAATATCGCCTTACTTGTCCGGGCCACCTGAACTTGATTCCTTGACGTGAGCATCGGCATCACTGATCTACGTGCGTTGTCGGAGCTCGGAACTGTTGATTCCCTCCTGCACCTGCGTCTATAGGGAAACTTCGAGCGCTGACATTATGCTCATCCTGCTTGCGTAAAGTTCAAGTCTCGAGGCCTATGTCAATACAATAAAGTCGGCACAATCTAAAAGATGGACGGGAAATAATCTTTCGATTTTTACTACTCCCATGATGTTCTTGAATGCTCCCCACGCCACTTTCCTGCTGCTAAGCTCCCGGGTAGCTCCATCATCGGGTTCTTTATTTTTCGCCTTAAGTGCAGGCATCTAAACCATCCAGTGATGTAAGTACCGTTGAGCGTGAACAAAGCTTCTTGATTTCTCGCCTGACTGGTGAGGTGCAGGCATATGAAATATCCAGTAATGTAGGTACCGTTGAGCGTGAACAAAGCATCAGAAATCATTCTCTTCTTATGAACGTCTTGAAAAAGAACAGTCGCAAACCGATATTTCTAAGCGTTGGCAAATCAGGCAGACATTCTTTGCGGCTGCTTGGTATTCGGTGTTATAAGCTCGATGTCACCTGTAAAGCGAAGTAGATATATGTGCCGTCCCGTCTTCACTTTTCCTTCGTCGTAGAACGTCTTGGCTTGATATTTGAGCGTAGGCGACGAATATTGTTGAAGTTACGGCCGTGTCACATCTTCTCAACTGCAAACGTCCGATTCTAGCTATTAAGCTTTTGTGCGAATGGATCCTTGGCCAGTTGCGTATGACCAGACGCCTACACCGCCGACGCCTGTGCTGTCCAAGGAACAGTTCTTCTCCAGTGGGTTGAGGACGATGACTTCGCGTCTCGCACGTCGTACTTCATCTTTTTGGATTTCATGCTCAGGCCTCAAGTTCCGATGCAAATGTCCGCCCTCAGATCTCAATTTTAGAACTTTTTCGTTCAGTCAGCTTTTTGGTCGCTGAGATTTAGGAGCCTCTCCTCAGCGATCCTATACAGCTGTCACAGTGGGGGTTTCATCATGGTTATGGGAATGATGCCTACTGTGAAGCATATTTTGAGAAATTCTTTTTATTTCTTTGCAGATTCATTATTTGTTATCAGTATGCAAATAGGACTAATTTTTTAATCCAGATTTGAACATGGCACTGACTGGATTTATCGGGAAGCTGGATTAGCGTCTCTCGCAGAAGTGTCCCTGAGGTTACGTGAATATCATAGACAGTTGATTGGGCATGATCGTATTCAAGTGGAGCCAGGATCAGAGGTTCGCTACGTTTTCGTTTCGTTATCATTTATAAAAGCATGGCTTATGCGAAGTAAACGTGTCCCCCATTGCTTTTCGATATAGAAGCAGTTGACGATTTGTTGTCTATATCAACCTTGTAAAGTCATCACCCCATTCGATTAAGTATTTTCCACTTATTTTGATTTGGTCTAGGTGAATTTTTCAGGTTAACATTTCTTCTCTGGATCCATCCATTGCCTACATCTGGGTGAATCATGTGGAACCTTTACTCCAGGAGGGTCACACGCTCAAGCACTTCAAGACGCATACGAATGTCAGGTACTTGTCTAAACACTAATTGCTTAGCTTAAGGTTTCATGATGGCCGTCTTGTAGTAGCACCTCAGGGTAGTACTATTCCGAGTGAAAGGTGATGAGAAGGTTCTAGCTAGTACTCCAACCTAGAAAGGACTCCACGTGTAACCGGGTGTGGTAACTTCTCCCCGAAAATCGTGCCGCACTCGCCGCACCTGTACGCGCGTAGTCGCGCACTACAAGGGGGAAGACTCGATTCCTAAGAGAAGGAGTCGGTAGCCGCTGCGGAATCACTGCCACTTGCAATATGAATTTGGGGGAAGTACCGCCACCCCCGTAACCTACAGATGCTCACTGAAGTGCGCTCAGATTTTAGGATTAAGTTGAAGCATATGCCAGAAAATTCTATTTAGTATCCTTATCTCCCTTACNAGTACAAATTAATGTTTAAATATGTTACATTTTGTCATTAGATTAGTTCATTAGCAGTAGAATCCAGTCAAGTGCGGCGTCGCGGCTG